TCCCGGAGCTGTCGGCATAACAGCACCGGCGATTCCGGTGTTTGGGCCTTGCGGGAATTTCTCCGCTTTCGGAATTCGCATCCATTTCGTGTTTCTCTTCTTTCATTGTCGCGACGAGGACATTTTAAGACGTTTAAGTATATTCATTTATGCTATTGTGATTAAAATTATTGAGACTCTGACCTCATTCTGACATTGTGTTAAAAAAGTAATAATATATATGATTCATCTCAAATTTTTTCGAGAATATACAACAAATCAAGAAATTATCGTATTATATTTGCTGGACCGAGTCCCTTTATTTAGGAATTAACCCTTTATCTGCAACCTAGGTTTTTCCTACCAAAAGCGCAATTTTACTTTTAAATTTCATCTTTATTTTTGGTCAAATTTAGACTTTTATCAAATAAAAATGATTTAACATATTTAAAAAACTATTTGGTACTAACAGAGATATATGTTTAAAAATAACCCAGAACTTTTTTAAAGCCCAGAACGATTAAAGAACTTGAGTTGAACAAAAAAAATCCAGATGCACGGAGGAAATAAATAATTACGGAAAGACGGAAGGTTAACATTATTATAATATTTCTCAAATATACAAAAGACTGACACTACTTTTTTTAATACATGTGATATGTCAATAAAAATAATTATATTTTCAAGCATTAAACTAAACTAAACTAAAAACTTTTATGTTCAATTTGCACAACTACTGTTTCCACAAATGTAGATTAATTTTAACTTACTTTTTATCTTTTTTTACTTCTAAGAATTAAAAAAAAATAAAGAGCTAATCAAACCGAGATAAAATCTACGTCGATAGAAATAAATATGCAAGTCAAAATGACACGATGCAGACAACGCATAAATTTTATTATTATACGATAATAATACGGACGAAATTTTATTGAATGATAAATGAATGACGGGCAAAAAATGTATCCGAATGACGCCCATTTCCAAACTCGCCCTGCCCCCTCACCCCTTTATGACCGCTTTTTTTTCTTTTAAAAAGTACTAGACCGGTCGCACACCGTCGTCCATAAAGAACGCACGGATTGACGAAGATGACGATGACGACGACGACGACGACGACGACGACGATGGGAACCCGGGTAGCCGTGCGGGTAGCCCTTCGGGGGTACTGCCGCGGTGGGATCAGGTTTTTCTCGCCGTCGCGACGCGCCTCTCCGCCTCCGGGCCGCGTTCGCGTTCCCGGCTAACAAAAACGAGCCACCCCATGCCAAAAAAGTCGTTATGTAAATGCGCCGCGAGAGCCCGGCCTAGAGCCGCGCCACCGTTCTGTCGGTCACAGGTATACTGGGTGAGCTCGAACGACAATCAATGACGATTTCTAGCTTGAAGAACCGAGGACAACGACGCAAAATGAGGTCTGAATAATTCCAAGAAATTCAGCGATTAATTTTGCGAACATAGAGGATCCCGCATAAAACCATGGGTTTTTAGCTCTCAATAAAGTTGACTGAAACTGTAGTCTGTTATAGTTTTTGACTAAATTTTAAGCTAATTTTAATTTTCCAAAAGAACCCATGGTTATGTGGGCTTCTTTCCCACAAGCGAGAAAATATCTATTGCTTGAATCGGAGATAAAATTTCAGAGATATAAATAGATTTGATGAATGAATAAATAATTTATAATATTATATTGTATTTTTGTTAAACAATTAAAAATTATTGATACACATTGTAATGTTTAAATTGTTTGAGAGAGACAAGGATCGATTGAAATAGAACAATTGCTTTATAATGCTCGTATTAAGTTAAAAATTGAAATCGAGAAATTGAATTTGATTCAATTAAAACAAAGTTCACCAAACTTGATATTGGTTTTCTTTCTTTCGATTTGCCAAATTCAATCTCAATTTCAATCTCTAGTCTGATACGGGCACAATGTCAGTATTTTGAAGATTGTCCCTCGTCCAATTTTCAAATTAGGTCGAGTAAATATATGCAATAAAAATACAGGATGAAAAATTATTAATAAATTCAGTTAATGCGGCGTAAAGTTAATGATGAGCGGACGATTGCGCGTGGTTTTATTTTTTAACAAAAGCTCGATCGAAGTGTTATCGCGCGGATGACAGGCTCGGCTAGATGATCAACAACGTGTATATCACATACACGCGGTATTAATAAAGTCGTGAAAACGTGAATAAGATGTCAGCCACGGCGGTATAAATAAATGGCGGGCGGCAATAATAATGAGAGCGAAGCGTAAAAGCGGGAATTGATGCAAAAACTATGGGGTGGAGTTCGCGTACTGGCGGCCTATACGGGAATTTTGCTGGTCGAGTATTCGCGAAAATGCAAGATTCGTGAACTGATATTTAGCCTTGTCACGCACGACATACATATTTTTGTTACGATGATAATTATCCAGAAATATAAAAACAGATGAAAAGTATAACAGAATGATGAAAAATATTATTTTGACCCAAAACTGACAAATGCTTTTTACAAGATTTACTCCCCAAGTCCCTCTGATCTATTTTCTTCTCGCAAAAATGTCGGTTTAACAATTTTCGAGTATCCAGCGATTAAGAATAAAACACATTTTTGGCAGATTATGCTTCAAATAAATAAATAATTTTAAGTACAATATATTTTAATATAATTTTAATTGCAAAATGGAAGAATGGATTAAAAAGGTACGATTAATATAAAACAGTTCAAATATTCAAATAAATAATTATTTGACAAAAAAGAGTTTGTAAGATAAGATAGTAAAAATGTTAATATAATAATAAATAAATCACGATTCAATCGATACAAGTTTCAATCTCAGAAATAAAACTAGTTCACTGGGGGTTACAAGTTCTTTTTATTTTAGTAACTGCACAATTAATATACAACTTTATTAGTAAGTGAAAAATAAAAGCTTTGGTGCCTAATAATATTTTTGTGATGAATTTTGACAATTGGCACACAGTTTGCTTAAATTAGAAATTGCAAAAATTTACACAAAAAATATTGTTAGACACTCGTTTTGACCGAATATGAATTTTTTTTATTATGAAACTTCATTATTTTTCTTTATTTTTTATTTTATAGAGTTAAAATCAATTTGATTTTTTAGAAGCTTACTATCTCTTGCATAAATGCTCTCTTCGCATGCTTTGATGAACGCTTCCCCTATGATGTAAGAATACAAAGTGTTTCGCTCCCGAGATAACCAACCAGAAAATTAGTCCAAAATGTAGCCAACGTAGAGCCGCTATTAGAAATGTATGTCACCGATAAGAAATTTTCTCCAAAATTATATTCGTCCCGCCATAAAGGACAGTGAAACACCTTGTATTCTTACATCATGGCTTTCCCTCTTCATTTGTCCTTCTATCGCTCATCCGCCGAGGTTCCTGCTGACCCAAGACACGGCTCTTCCACGTAGATCCTTTTTTCGTAGGTCGCGTTCGCGCTAGAAAAATCTCGCGGAACAAGTCGCCACCCCGCCGTCGCCGTCCCTATCGTTGGCAGCGGGGACTTATTCGCGGGCCCGAGATGTACGAGCGTGAGACCGGGACCCGGGCTCGTAATAAGACCCGCCGGCCAGTTTTTTTCCAGCTCCTCTCTCTCCCTCTCGCCGTATCTCTTTCTCTCCCTTGCGAGTCTTTCTCTTACCTCTACGACCTCTTTCTTTGGTTTTACCCTGCGCTCTTCTCTCCCTCTCACCCTCCCTTCTCCCCAACGGCGGCACCGGTATTAATTTATACGCGGTACGTGTGTGCACGCCGCTTTTTCTCGCAATTCCTCGAAATTTGCAAGAAACTAGTCGGACACTCTGGCGTCCATTCGCTCGTCGTCTCGAGGAGACAAACTCGCGTGATCGTGCCGGAACAGCGTCGAAGATCGCGGGCAATCACGAATCGAGGGTAGTGGTTACGATTACTTTTTCTAATAGGCCTTTTCCTAATCAATTTACCTAAACATATGGTATCAAGAATGACAGTCTTATAACGTAAAAGCGCAGAAAAACATGTATTTTCGATCAAAGCGGATCTTAATGCTTAAGTGTTTCACACCGAGTAAATTTATATAATATACATTCTATTCTGCAAATCGAAATCTTTTTCGGTCTTGAAACACAATCATGAGCAAAATTGGAATAGTAATATCACATATTAAATTGATAAGCAATTCAATAATTTTTTATGTTAATATAAACATCTTAGAAGGATGTTAATAATTTAATGTTAATCTAAGTATCTTAAGAACATTGTAAATAATATTTACAGACATATTTCCGGATAAATTTATCTTGGAAAAATTAAATGATGGAGTAATCCGACATTATCACTTGTTTGTTGAAAAAGTGTTCTATATATGAATAGTGATTCATAAATATTATAGAGATATATAAAACGGAGAATATTATAACGGTTCTTGGCTCTCTTCTCCGCTGGCGTATTGTTTTACGTCTTAGTTTTATTATTATTTCATGTTAGACTTCGAGATATGCGTTATCATAAAGAGTCAGGCTCACATTTTAATGTTATCAAATCACGTGTTCGTACGAGTAACATGATATAGTCGTATTCTCGATGTACGTATGAGTAACATGATATAGTCGCTCTTAAACTGTAATCACACTACAGATTGCCGGTTACGATTGCCGGTTATCAGTTTTATTGTATTTTAGTCATTTACGATGTGGCGAGTATGGACTAGCTATGCGACTGGCTGAAATAATATTGTCAACCGTAACCGGCAATAATCCGTGGTGCGATTACGGCTTTACGCTCAATTCAATCGTCCGTGGAATATTAACGGTCCTTGCATCTGTCTAATTACGATGTAATTGATTGTCGAGATCCGTGAACGGAATGGATAAGAAAGGAGTAGACGGCAAGCTTACCGTGGCCGATTATTACTATTGTCGGTAATAAAAAGCTAAAAATGGCTGATCGGCTGAAGGCGATCCTTTATCGTTAATTGCAGCCGCGCAGCCTCCCTTAATGAATCACTTTAACGAATGCTATATGCGATTTGCAGTGGTGCAGACGTCCGTGCCGCAAAACGAGGCTGAGCTGCAGCTGTACAGGGTGATGCAGCGTGCCTCGTTGCTGGGATACTACGACACACTCCTCGAGATGGGTAAGCATACAAGCGAAAATGTACCTATGTATGTTGATCGAAAGACATTTTAATGTGCACTTTTCGACAGAGAGAGAGAGAGAGAGATCCCAGGGAAAATATTTTAAATTATGAATACGAACTTCAACTTTTCCATAAAAAGAAAAAAGACTCGAAATTAAAATTTACCGAGACATTACCGTGTCTCCAGATTCAGTTTAAAGGGAATTCGCCTAGCGAATGACACCTCGTGTAATTCTCGTGAGAGTGACTCGCTAATATATCGCATGACATCGCATTACAGGAGGCGACGACGTGCAACAGCTGTGCGACGCGGGTGAAGAAGAGTTCCTGGAGATCATGGCACTGGTGGGCATGGCAAGCAAGCCACTCCACGTCAGGAGGCTTCAGAAAGCTTTGCAGGAGTGGCTGACTAATCCTTGTAAAGTATCACGCTTTACACACACATACATTCTCTCTCTTTCTATACGATTCCAAATTGTTCCCCATTGTTCGGTTATGTAATTTTCTGAAATTTTACATAAACGATAAGGGAAAATCGACCGATAAGATAACATGACATGAATGAAAACTACCATGTTCGGTCAAGGCGGTTCTTCGTGCCTAATACTATTTCTCGTAAATTCATATAGTTAACAGTTCAAGCTATGTGACGATTATTTATCGATCTTGAAACAGTCCTAAATCGAAGCTGGAATTGTAATATTACAAATTAAATTGCAATAATAATATTAAATTGCTTGTCAATTTATTTTGTGATATTATTGCAGCTTCAATTTAAGACAGTGTTTCAAGACTGATAAATAAATGACAAGAAATATTATTAGACACGAAGAACTATAACTTTAACCGAACATGGCGTTTTCCACTCGTGTGAATCTTACGTAATATTCACGTATTTGCATCGAAATTCTGCATCTCGCAGCGTTGTTCCAAACGCCGGTCGTGCCGACGAACGCAGCTGCCGCCGCCGCCGCCGTCGTCGCTGCCGCAGCGGCCGCCAAGAGTCCGGTCGCCGTCGCCTCCACCGCCGTGGGGTTTGCGTGCGCGAGCCCGCGGCCGCAAATGCAGAGCCTGCCAACCGGCTTCGCCGCGACCTCCCAGACCTCCTTGACACCGACGTCCTACGTGTCGACAACGCCCCACATGCCGTTGACGCCCTTACCCTGCCGAAGCGCCAGCCCGGTCGTGCCGGTCACCAGTGTATCGGCATCGGCGTCCTCCACCACCTTCCGCCAGAGTCCGAGCCCGAACACGTCCTTACCTTACACGACTACTCACAGTCCCAATGTGTTACAGGTAAGTGTTCACCGTTCGATCGAGGCCAATAAAATCGGAGAGAAATCGTCTCCTTGATTGATCAGTATGCGAAAAACTATCCATCAGCGAGTGTGTGTTAAGTTTCCGATTTTTATCCCTCCAGCTTATGTTCACGAGAAACTTTACATAAATATAAAACGGACGGATCGTATACTTTCCTCTTTTATGCATATCCTTCGTCGGCAATTATTATGGCAGATACTTTAACAATTATTATTTATATAATATCTGTTAACATTTTTAATTAAAAATTTTATGTAACACTTGCCAATATATGTTTGTGACAAATATTTGTCAAAAAACTATTTAATTTGATCTGTCTAGAAAGGTGTACATCCTCTCTTAATTTGTGAATAATGTCTAGTGTTTAAAAACCTGAAACAGGCCTTGGATATTTTTATTGAGTTATACATTAATGTACTACATAAATAATTGTAGAAGTATCTTTCTGACAAACGTTTGCGACGTTTTGTGCCATTTTTACGCGCTTAATTGCTCACTTTTGTTGCATATAATACAGGTAGGAACGTGCGAGTCTTCGTGCGGCAGCGGAACCACGCCAAGTCCAAGTGGCGGTGGCGGCGGTGGTGCACCTGCAAGCCCGACACAGCCAACGCCGACCCTCCTGCAGTCACAGGTGCAGCGGCTCGCCGAGGCCGCGGAGAGACTCGTCGCTACCATAAGGCCCCTCGATCCCAAACCCCACAACGTGAAGAAAAAACTCTGCAAGAAGCTGGAGGTGATTTGTTAATTTCGACCGGCAGGCGCGTTTGCTTTCATTCGCTAGATGCTACATCCGTGGAAAATTTAACATCTGTTTCAAACACGATCGCTTAATGAGATTGTTACACGTGGCGGTAACCCGGCGGTACTTTTCACAAATTGTAGCGCGAGCAATGAGGTATTAAAAAAAAAACATATGCATTTTCATTTTATAGATGGTAATGACGATGTCCGATAGTGATCCGCGCAAAATGGACGAGATCCGTAAGTACGCGGCGATTTACGGTAGATTCGATTGTAAGAGAAAGCCGGAAAAGCCTTTGACGTTGCATGAAGTGTCGGTGAACGAGGCTGCGGCGCAAATCTGCAGATTCGTGCCTGCCCTCCTCACTAGGAGAGATGAACTATTCCCTTTAGCGCGTCGTGTCGTTCGTGATTCCGGTTACCATTACTCCAAAAGCCAATAGTAAGTAAACGCATAAGACTTGCATCAACTTTTATGGAATTTGTGGAATTTGAGAGCTTAAAAAGTTTAGATTTGTTCTGATCCTAATTTCAATTATTTGCCTTGGAGATTAATATTATTAGTTAACGTATTAATTAAATTAGCAAAATCAATCATATCTTTTTAAATGAGTTTGGCTAACTAAATAATCAAAATGTTACCAAAATGTTATACTAATTTGCTACTAGAATAGATATCGTGAGTTTATCAATTGTGTTTGTATTACAGCTTGTCGATGTCGAGGCCGCGCGAGAACGGGGAGGAGACCGATTGCGAACGCTCGAAACGCCAAAAACTCGAGCTGGAGGATGAGGGTGAGGGTGAGGATGCGACGCAGGTTAGAGCACCCCAGCCACAGAAATAGATCGTTCCCTGTGCACTGTGACCTGCCGCACTCGCATGGCCGCTAATCATTAACCGTACGCTCATCGCGTAGAGATCGCCACGCATTAACCACCCGTACTAACTTAGATACGCGAAACAGAATGGATATGAAAAAGGTCAAGTATAGTTGCAAAAGCACGTGCATGGTTTGCGCTTCTTCCACTTGATTGACTCGAGATCGTGTAACTTGTTCATTAATTGCAGTAGAGATTTGATTGAATCTTTCTTTCGTAATTTGCAACTGTGGTGTGTACTGAGACGCTTTGACACGTAATCTTATGTTATAAAAATTTATACATATTTTTATACTTCTATATATTTTATATTTTTATTTTATGTTTTATAGTAATATTGTAAACTAGAAATCTATTAATTAAAAAATCTTATTACAGCTCGATTTAGACCGTTTTTCTTTATACTTTACATTGCAAAAAACGAGCAAAATCTAATTACTTATACATATATTTACGTTATCTCTAAAGTCAAAGTCAATGAACAAATTGATAAATTTGATCATGTCACTAGTTTACAATTATATTCAATATATGAATTACTCGTGCGTTTTATAAATAAATAATAATCAAAGATTATATGAGAATAAAATTTACATCACTATCTCGTTAAAGTTAATAGCAATGGACAGACTCGTTTCACAACTGACACCCCAGCAAACAAGCTGACGTTATTTGTCATTATTTCGTCATGTTGACGTCTTTAATGTCAAAATTTCTTTAACTTATTTTTAGCCGATCTCTCTCTCTCTCTCTCTCTCTCAATATATGTATTAGATTTTATAACTTATAATAATTTTTTATCTTTTTGATCACTTCAAGTTTTAATTTTTAATCTTAATAAAATTAAAAGAGTTTTTAAAATTTGAAATTTTAATCTATTTTAAATTGAATTACAAAAAACTTTCCATTTAATTATTATTTATTCAGTTTTCTTTTAATTTGTCTTTTATTAATATCTTAAAATCTTGCTTAACAATGAATTTATATAATATAATACAGTTATTTTTTCCTTCTTTTATTTCTGAGAGTTTATAGTTCTATAAATGCAATTATTTTAGTTTAGAGTAAAACGATTGGTCGTGGTTTATTTTACTTATATTGCATTAATTTTCACTAAATTGTCTATCTGCATGTTGAATAGATATTTGAAATTGGAACATATATGAAATTCTTTTTGTATTATATGTTAAATTTTATTGCAAAAATCAGTCGTTTCGAAGATTAAGGGGATGCTGGAGGTCCTGTTTTATCATTACTTAGTTAAAGACTCGTTTCTCTTAATTGCATTTACGGATGGAAAAATCCTTCTGCATAATTAAAGTATCGACAACAATGAATTGCGCTAGCTACATTTCAATACGAAAAACGAAAGAAAATTAAAAATTTACAGTTTCGTTATCGAAAATCACAGAAGCCGATAACGAAACTGTAAATTTTTTTTCCGTTTTTCGTATTGAAATGTAGCTAGCGTAATTCATTGTTGTCGATACTTTAATTATGCAGAAGGATTTTTCCATCCGTAAATGCAATTAAGAGAAACGAGTCTTTAACTAAGTAAGTAATGATAAAACAGACGGGTCCAGCATCACCTTAATTCGTTCGATACGACTTGCTTGGACTCTATGCTTATCGCCTGGTATCCCAAGTCGTATTTATCTGTTTGCATTTGATATGCATTCGTCATGCCTCTCCCATTTCGATATGTCCCATTTCTGCACCTCCCTTTTATTATATTATTTTCCTCTTTTCTTTCATGTATCTCCAATTTACTACTTCTACTGTCTGTAGCAGTTCACTGTTCTAGGAGGAGTTAGATCTACGCTGTTCTGGAACGGATATTAACAATTCTATCACGAGAAGACACAGATCGTCGAGGTGATTATCCTTAGTCTTAAAGTGCAACTTTTATCGCAATGTATCAAAGATTTTAGTAGAAATTAATAAGAAAGGAAATATGAAGTCATATATATGGTAGACATTCCTTTTGGTCAACAAAATGAAATTATAATTTAGTTTTATATTATTATACAATAATAAATTAATCTGTATAAAAAAATAATTAAAATGATCAAGAAAAGTATGCTTTTCAATTAAACATTTTCTTTAATTTATTTTAATTCGAAAAGTATAAATCCTAATTGATCTATCTACGTCATGACATTTTTTTGCTTATTTTAGACTTTAAATTTACTTTTTGATGTACTGATGATTAAAAATTATACTCTTTAGAATATAATTTATAATATTTTCAAATTTTGAGAATTGTATCTCTCTTTTCTTGTAATCGCAATTTTTAGATATATTTGGATTGTTTCATTTATAATTACGTAAATAATAGCACATTGATGTTCAGATATTCGCAATGTTTCAGTCCAGTCTGGAGGAAGAAGAATAATAACGGTATCTTTAGCGCTAGCGTAGAAGAAATTAGTGACTCGGATAGCCAATTTTCCTTTTCTAACGAAGAATCTTCGTCTATGCACGTACGTGTGTAATATTAGGAAAATGGTCTATATATATATATATATATATATATATATATATATATCTGTGTGTTTAAAATTCTAGCACAGACTTAAAGATAATTGAATATGCATATAATATACATATTTTTCAGGATACAAACGAGGCGGAGGCTGAGAACACCGACAAAGAAAGCGATTTCAATCTAAAGGTGAGCGACGAACGTCAAGGTCTTCGTCGTATCTTCATCTTTCGTCATTCTTGCTTGAAAGTCAGAAAAACTGTTTGCAAAAACCGCTAAATACGATGCGCAAGTTTTTTTTATCTGTTACGCTGTCCTTTCCTTTTTTGCAATTGTTGAATAATGCATGCTTCTTTAAAATAATAGAAAAAACACGGCGATAGACGTCGCCACGGCATTTTACTGTACAGTCGTTAATGGCTCACATATAAATTATGTGTAGGTGATAGCCTCGCGCGGAGACAACATAATCGCCGTGGCGAATCCTGCGCTAATGGAATGCAGCCATCCTATAAAAGAGGAGCCCGCGGACGAAAAACCCACACTGTGATATTATTACTTAGCGTTTACTGCCGCTATCGACGTCACGGCGACGTGAATGACGGCATCCCGTCGGTCATCGCCGTTATCACCGATCATCGTTTACTAAACATCGTTCATATGTATCATTGAGCACGATAGCTCAATGCGATCGTTGTGGAATAATATAACACTCGCTTGGATTGTACACCGATTGACCGAAGTGATCTGTCTCTTTGTCCAGAGAACATTTATAACGCTGCCCGTTATTTAGTTCTATCAAAATACAAAGAAACGAAAAATACTGTATAACAATTACGATGAACGTTTCTAGAAGGCGATAGATGAATAAAAATAAGTCGTTTAAATCAAAAGATCGTTGACTGATATACGTAGCATTATAAAATGTACATTATAAGCAAATGTAAATATAGGTGAATATAAAGAGTCCTTTTTTTTACACGCGCTGTTGCAAGTAGTTTTATTTAAAAGATACGGAGTTACCTTTCTCGCAGAATGATCGATTGATTTATTTTGTCCTCTATATACCTTTTTATTAGAGTTATTATTATTATTAATATTTACGTTAATTATTTTATTAAATCATTGCTGTTATTTTCATAAAAAGTATGAAGAAGATAAGTGATTTTTTTATATTGATATATAGATATATATATTTATTAAAAATGATTTTCTTCACACAATATTAATTATTACATAAATGAATATGTTTCGTGAATTAATTTTTTATAGTGTATCAATTTTTTATTTGTGCACTAAAATTCCGAAAAAATTTTTTTAAATTAATATATTCAATACTATATATCATTGTATGAATACAAAACTCAAATCGAAATTTTTTATCAATATTTTTTTTTGGAAGAGAGTCTTACCCTTCAACCTTTCCTTCTACATATATAATGCTTCATCAATCTATACTTAAAGATTATCAATTAGTTAATATTCGGCTCCAGTTATCAATGATGCGACATTTAATATATTATATATTACATAAATAATAATAATAAACATAATATTAATAAAATATTATAATAGACATAATATTAATAA